GACGTACTTAACTCTCCGTCCCTGTTTATGTAAGGGATACTTGTTTTTTCCTTCTTTTTCCGTTTTTTTGTTTTTCAAACATCCCGTTGGTGTAGGGGCGGCGGCTGCCGTTCTTTTCGCTCTGCTTCTCTCTTCGCCACCACCACAACTGCGACTACTGCCACCACCGGCCCTCTCCACGCGGAGAAGAGGGAGCGGGCGGTTGCGGTTGCGGGGGACTTTACAGACTCCCGCCTGGTGAATGCGTGGCGGGGGGCGCTGCTTTCTTGGCCGCCGGGCCCTTGAAGTCGTCTTGTTTGTACTGTGCGTGCGTGCGGAGTGCTGAGAGCGCCCCGCGGCAAACCGCTGTGACTCCTCCCCACCTTGCTTCTCCCTCCCTCCCTCCCTCCCTCGCTCTCTCGCTCGCTCTGTAGGAAGAGGGGGGCTGTGCCTTAGCCGGCGGTGGGTAGTCGCACGCTGCCCCGGCTTTCCTTCTGACTTACGCTCCTTTTGTGGATGCCGGAGGTAACTTCCTTGCCGAGGAAGTGCGTTTCTCTCCCCCCCCCTTTTTTTTTCGATGTTGTTGCTGCCCTCTTAGGGTTGCGGTGGTGGGCGGGGAAGTGCGTGGGAGATGCGTGTTTGCTTTTCTCCTTGCTTCCTCTGTCTTCCGCTGTTGTTGCTTGCCGGCCTGCCCGCCCTTTTCTTCATTCTTTTCCTTCTCTCCGTTGTGTGGCGCTTGCCGTCGTGGTTGGGCGCCGGCGGTGCGTGAGTGGCTGGGTGCGTATTGTTTTGCCTGCGGCCATGCGGGGAGCGGCGCTGCTACGGGGGCTGCTCCGGCGCCCCTCCGCCGCCGCACTTCTTGCCTGCTGCGGCGGCGGCGGCAGCAGCAACGTGCCGCGCGGCACGACGGCCATTGCGGCGGCCATTGCGGCGGCCACGCGCCCCTACATGCCGCTCCCGAGCGACCAGAGTGAATTTTCTCCCTACGTCGAAATTGACTTGCCGAGCGAGAGCCGCATTCAGGCGATCCATCGCAGCGGCCTCGGGGCGCAGGAGTGGGTGGCCTGCGAGAAGGTACACGGCACCAACTTTGGCATCTACCTCATCAACCTCGGCGAGCAGGAGGCGGTGCGCTTCTCGAAGCGGAGCGGAATCATGGACCCCAACGAGAACTTCTTTGGGTACCACATCCTCATTGACGAGTTCTCCGCGCAGGTCCGCATTCTGTGCGACCTGCTGAAGCAAAAGTACGGCCTAAGCCGCATTGGGCGCGTCGTCCTCAACGGCGAGCTCTTTGGGGCGAAGTACAAGCATCCGCTTGTGCCCAAGAGTGAGAAGTGGTGCACGATGCCGAATGGGAAGCGGTTTCCGATCGCCGGCGTGGAAATTCAGCGCGAGCCGTTTCCGCAGTACAGCCCAGAGCTGCACTTCTACGCCTTTGACATCAAGTACTCTGTGAGTGGGGCGGAGGAGGACTTTGTCATGCTTGGCTACGACGAGTTTGTGGAGTTTTGCTCGAAGGTGCCAAATCTGCTCTACGCCAAGGCCGTCGTCCGCGGAACGCTCGACGACTGCCTGGCGTTTGACGTGGAAAACTTCTACACCCCGCTGCCGGCCCTGCTGGGGCTCGGCAACTACCCGCTCGAGGGGAACCTCGCGGAGGGCGTCGTCATACGCCACGTCCGGCGCGGCGACCCGGCGGTGGAGAAGCACAACGTCGCCACCATCGTGAAGCTGCGCTGCTCCAGCTTCATGGAGCTGAAGCACCCGGGGAAGCAGAAGGAGCTGAAGGAGACGTTTATTGACACCGTGCGGACAGGGGCGCTGCGGCGCGTCCGCGGGGACGTGACGGTGATTGCGGACTCGATGCTGCCGCAGGTGGAGGCGGCCGCGAACAACCTGCTGCTAAACAACGTCAGCGACGGCAGGCTGAGCAACGTGCTCTCGAAAATTGGGCGGGAGCCGCTGCTCTCCGGTGAGGTTTCGGAGAAGGACGTTGCCCTGATGCTCGCCAAGGATGCCCTGAAGGACTTTCTCAAGGACGTGGACGCGTTGGTGCTCAACACGAGTCTCTCGTTTCGAAAGATGCTCATTTCGAACGTCTACTTTGAGTCTAAGAAGCTCGTGGCGCAGAAGTGGAAGGAGCTCATAAAGGAGGAGGCGGCGGCGCAGGAGGCGGAGGCGGCCGCACTGAAGGAGCCCCTACCAACGGCCTGAGTGCACTCTTTACATAAAGTCCACGCACACACACGCCTGCGTTCGTGGGGGTGTATGCCGTTCGGCGTGTTCGTGAACATCACATTGCGTGTATTGTCCTTCAGAGTTTTGTCAGCGGCGAGCACACACAGAGAGAGAGAAAGAGAGAGGAGAAGCGATGCGAGCAGCGTTGTTGCATTACTTGTGTTTCCCCTCTCTCTCTTGCGTGGCGGTCTCCGCGGTTCGCCTTTGCCGTTCTTGCCTTCCCACCGTCCTCACTCCCTTCTCTGCCCCCACCCTCCTCCGCGTCGCTCAGCGACCTTTAGCCGTTTCAAAGCAACCCGCCTTACCGCTGCAGCTGCCGCAGCGGAGGGAACTGCGGGAGTCACAGTGGTAGAAGTAGTGCGAATAGCGACAGCGGCCACTCTTGGCGGGGGACTGCAGGTGTGCGTGAGGACAGGACGCGAGAGCTTATATATTTGCCAATGACCGCCTGCACGGATAGTACGGCCTTTCACCCGCCGACGTTGGGGGAGAGGGAGACTAGGCGAGACGAGGGGGCGACGAACACGGGACTCAGCGGCTGCAGCCGCGGCAACGAAAACAGACAGATGGGGGAAAGGGGCGGAAATGACGGGATCAGCGTGTTTCTCCTCTCCACACATCACATTCCACACGCCTTGGAGCCGTATGCACCCACCATGTCGGTGTCCGCAAGGCTGGTGGAGCAGTGCCTCTGGAATTATCGAGACACCCTCTTTTGGGCGCGGGAATACGGCCACACGACAGAGGCGGAGAGGATGCAGCTCCGTTTGCATCTGCTGCAGCTGAAACAAGAGGCCGCGGATGGAAAGCGAGACGCCACGGAACCGTCGGGATCGGCGGCTTCATTCTTGGTGGAGAAACAGCTGTGGGACCTCATGCTGCATGAAGGCGGCACGCACCCCCTGCTTCCCTCGGAGTCGCTGCGCTACCAACAGATTCTGCAGGACATGAAACACCTGGCTCGAGGGATACTGCTTCCCATTGAAATCCTGCGGCATCGCAATCACTGGCTACTCCTGCAGGAAGATGTGCAGCTGAACTTGTCGGGCCGCCTCTTTCACTACCGTGTGGTGCTGCGACAGTCCCCACCGGCGACGATGGTAAGGCGACTCTGGCGCGAATTGTGGTCACTCCTCGGCGCGGCGTGGAGGCAGCGGGAGCGGCTTATGGGGGCCTACGCGGAGGGCATTCCACCCGTTGACCTTGACGGCGACCCGTCGCGGCTCCCGCCCCCGCCCTCGCCCTCCACATCGCCCTCGTTGCGTGACGCCTACCGCGAGAGGGAGCACGTGCATGCCAAATGTAGTTCTCACCATGCGGGCGACGTGGGAGGCGACGCGCGAGCGGCTTTCGGGGAGGGCGACGACCTCGCCTTTGGGCCGTTGCTGCCGCACCGTGTGGGAGTCACGACGCAGCGCCATCACGCCATCCGGGTTCCGTTGTTTTCGTTACTTCGTTCCCTGCGGGTGCGGGTGGGGAGGGCCGCGGCCTCGGCCACGGCGTCGCCCGGCGGGCTTAGCAGCAGCGGCAGGGGCTGCGGCACCGTCCGCTCTGCCGCGCCCATCTCTTGCGCCGCGGACGCTGCACCACCCAGCGTGCCGTTCTTTGACACCACGGCGGAAGAGCTGGAGGCGTGTCGTGTGCCGTACCTCGCGCCAGAGTGGTTTGTGCAATTGCGTTCGCGGGCCAGCGGTGCCTCTCAGGGGTGGGAGGACGACGCCGTGCTGCACTCCTACTCGGACGACGCGTGGAACATCGCCGTGCTGGCGCTGGAGTTCATGCTGACCGGATTCCCACTTGCCGAAAGTTGCTGCGGCCGCCCTGACGCCTTCGCCCCGCCAACCTCGTCCCTGTTTGACGACGTTGTGCAGCTCCTGGTGAGCTTTCACGAGGTACCGCTCGAGGCGGCGCAGAACTTTCTTTACGCGGCACTTCACGAGTTATCCCTGCTGCTTCGTCGAAACGGGTCTGACGTTCCACTGGCGACGCCGCCGCCCCAGGGAGACGGTTATGCAGAGTCCGAACCACTGCCGCAACGCCTGGCGCAGCAGTGGCACAGCTATCTGACCAGGACGTACGGCGGGGCTGACAGCGACGGCGCTGCAGTTGGTGGTGGTGTTGGTAGTGGGGATGCTAGTTTCCTTCGCGACATTGCGGAGAGCGGACTGCGATGGTCCCGCCGTGAGCGATGGGAGGCGTTCAAGGTGGCACATGCCCATTTTCTTCATGATGCCGTTGAAGTCGCTTCTGCGGCTGGCGAGCGTGACGGTGGTGGTGGCGGCGTTGCGGCGGATGCCGCCCAGCGTGTTCTGGGCGGCCTGACAAGTCCCCTGATACCGCTGCATCCCATGCTGTGCGCCGCCGCGGCGAGGAGTGGCGTTGTGGCGGAGCCGTTTGTGCGGAACCACCAGCCGGCGATGGCGCTCCCGCCGCGGCCCTCGTCGCCATTCCTGTGGGATGTGCAGCTGCAGCTGCGGGTTTGGCGGCACAGCGTCGAACAGCACGCTATGGTGGAAGGAGGCTGCCGCAGGGACGTCGAGACGAGGCAGAACGTTGTGTTCAGAGAGTTTGTCCATGTCGTGCGACGCGTCCTCCAGCAGCGCCCCCGCGAGCGGCCGCGGGCCAGCGGGGAGGAAAGGGAGGCGGCCGCTCGACTTGGTCTTCCGCGACAAGGCCCTTGCGCCGTCGCCACCGCCGCGGCGTCCGCCCCGCACGGGGGCAAGCTGTCGCAGTCGGCCGTGCAGCATGGGCTGCTGCGAGGGCTGATGGAGCGCAGCGCGCTCTTTTCGTACCGCACCGACGGTGGTTGCGCCGGCGAGGGCAATTCTCCTCCCCCTCCTCGTGGCGGGGGTGTTGGCCGGCGGGGCGGCGACGAGGGCGTGGGCGACGGTGACGGTCTCCCCCCGGTGTTTCCCTTTTCGCAGGTGTTCCTCCGCACGGAGGAGCTGCTTGCGTCGCTGCGCAGCGAGGTGGTGTCGCTCAACGCCGCCTCGCCCGCCGTGGCGGCGGCGCGGAGTGCCCTGGACGCCCTCCTCGGGGCGAAGTGGCCGGCCAAGTCGCAGCCTCCCTCCCCTGCCGCGGCGAAGGCGGGGCTGCTGGCGAGCGCCAAGCGGGTCATCCGGGGAGTTGACTTGGACGTCGCGCAACAACTCGCGCTCGTCGCGGAGCTGCGGCGCCTCCTGTGCGATGCCTCGCCTGAGCGACGTGCGTCTCTGGTGCGGCGTCGCCTCGCGGAGGCGCAGACGGCCGGGGGAAGCCCTTGCGTGCCTGTGCCGGCCACACTGCGCGGGGAGGTCTGGGGCGCGCTCCTTGGGGTGCCGCCGGAAGCCGCCCGTGTCGCCGCGTATTACGCGCTCAACACCGCGTGTGTCTCCCCTTTTGATCGACAGCTGGCGGTTGACATCCCGCGGTGTCATCAGTATCATCCTTTGCTGGCAACGACGGAGGGGCATGAGCGGCTCCGGCGCGTCATTAAGGCCTGGCTGCTGATGAACCCCGAGCTGACGTACTGGCAGGGGATGGACAGCGTCTGCGCGGTTCTCCTCGCCGTCAGCTTCACGGATGAGGCGCTTGCGGCTGCGCAACTGCAGCAACTGACACAGCGTTATATTCCACACGATGCCGTTGCGTCCTCGCCCCCGGGTACGCAGAGCATGGAGGAACATCTGCAACAGTTTGCCGTGCTGCTGCGCTACTGTGATCCGCGTTTGGCTGCCCATCTCCTTGACGAGGTGGAGTGCCGCCCGGAGTTGTTTGCAATCAGCTGGTTTCTCGCGCTCTTGGCACACGGGTTACCTGTGGGGAAAGTGTGCCTGCTCTGGGATTTTCTCTTTGTGTACAGCGAGGCGTACCCGCACTGCCTCACAGCCTTGTGCCTTGCGGCGTTGCTGCAGCAGCGGGAGCGGCTGCTGGGAAATGATTTCTCCGTCTGCCTCTCCACCTTGAGCCGCCTGCAGGGCATTGACGTGCACCTGCTGCTGCGCGACGCGACGCTGCTGCTGCGCTCCGTGCCGCCCGCCGTGGCGTTGCTGCCGCCTCACGCTGGCGAGCGGGCTGGCGACGGGCGGCGATGCGGGATTTCGCGCGTGAATGCCCAGACAATCCTTCAGGCGTTTAACCGCCGGCTGCTGCGGGGCGTGGAGGAACCGGCGGGTGCGGCGTGGACGCAGTCGGGGATGTTTCTTGTGGACCTTCGCATGCACCGCGAGGCGGCGGGGCGGCCGCAGCGAGGCCCACGCGTGGAGGAGCGTGTTGTGGGGGCGCTGCACTTTCCCCTCGTGGCGCCGCCCGCACGTGGCGACGAAACAAGCGCCACACACTCGTCGCAGCGACTCGTCACCCAACAGGCCACGGAGCTCTTGCTGCAGCTCGACAACATGGCCATGGCGGCGCTTCCGCCGTCCCCAGCAACGGCGCCGGCGCCATCGGCAGCGGCAGAGGCGTCGGTGGATGGTTTGTCCACCGCGCTGCGAGCGTGTGCGGCGGCCCCCCACGTTGTTTTGTTTACTCTCTCGACGACACCCGGCGAGACAGCGGCGGCGGAGTCACTTGCGCTTGAGCTGGTGCGGTGCGGCACGCCGCATGTGTCTATTCTGCTGGGTGGGTTTCTGGGGCTCCGGCGGGAAGCCCCGCACCTCATCGTTGAGGTGGAGGAGGATTGAGCGGGGGACCCCTCGTTCCGCCCTCTTCCCTTCCCTTTCGGCTGCAGCGCCGCGGCGGGCGCACCCCCGTTGCACGTATCTGCTCCTGCCGTCGCCTTGCATGGCGGCGTGCCTCTCCCTGCTCTGTGTGTGTGTGTGTGTGTGTGGGCGTGCGCAGGACCCCCTCCGTCTCTCTTACTTGCCCCGTGTTGTCGTCGGTCGTGTTTTCTTCCGGCTCTTTTTCTCCCCTCCACCTCCTTTCATGCTTTCCTGCCTCTTTCTCTCTCTCTCTGTGTGTGTGCGTGTGTGTCTACTCCCCTCGGGCAGCTCTACTACATCGGCGCTGAAGCGGCAGCAAAGGAGGAAAAAGTTGCTTTTTTTTTTGCTTACTCCCCACTACACCGCCACCGCCCCTCTTTTCCCTCGCATAAATATATTTATTGACGCACACACACACAAAAACGCATTCGAGCTCTCTTGCGGGGCCCGAAGGCAGACGAGAGGGGTGGGGCCACTCGCAACGCGGCGGCGGCGGCCACGGCCAGGGGAGATGATTCGTGTCTTGTGCACCACCGAAAGCGGGGAGAGCTGCACGTTGGAGATTGACCCGCAGTCGCTCGTGGAGGACCTGGCGGCGCTCATTGAGGTGGAGTTGGGCATACCAATGCTCGAGCAGGTGCTCGTCGCGGATGACGGCGCAGCGCTGCGAGGCAACGCGACCCTCGAGTCGCAGGGCGTTTGTGCTGGCGCAAGCGTGAGGGTGATCCATAGCGCCAGAGCCCACGACGAAGGGCCTGCGCGCCAGGAGGCCGAAGGCGAAGAACCCCCGCTGGACGCACCACCGTCGCAGCGTCCGCAGCAGCGCGGGCTTGAGCCTGGAGTTGCACCTACTCCGGGGGCCTCAGAGGGAGGGCATGCGGCTGCACCGAACCCGCAGCGCCGCCTCCCCCACGCACCAGGTGAGGCGCGCGCGCGCATCGAGCAGTTGTTTAGCCGGGGCCCGGGACAGTCGCCTGGGCGGCTGCCGCTGCATGAGTCAGATCCGGAGGTCCAGCGCCGCATCTACGAGGCGATTTACTGGGAAAACATCAATGAAAACCTTGAAAGCGCGTACGAGTTCATGCCGGAGTTTTTCGTGCGGGTGCCAATGCTATTTGTAAACTGTGAGGTGAACAAGGTGAAGGTGAAGGCCTTCATTGACTCTGGGGCGCAGCGTTCCATCATGAATCGCCGCACAGCGGAACAGTGTGGGTTGATGCGGCTGCTCGACACGCGCGCGACGGGCATCATGCGAGGCGTAGGTGTGCGGCGGACGCTCGGCGTCGTCCACATGGTAGTCGTAAACCTCGGTGGCCTCCACGTCCCCTTTTCCCTCTGCGTCATCGAGGACGACAAGATGGACTTTATTATTGGCCTGGACCAAATGAAGCTGCACCGCATGATTATCGACCTGCGGGACAACTGCCTGAGGGTCGCGGACACCCAAATTCCGTTTCTGCCCGACTCCGAGGCGCCCGAGTTTGTCACCGGAGACGAAGTCGTGGACGAGGAGGAGGCGGGGCAGGGTGAGGCAAAGGCGGCGGTGGCGTCTGCCACCAGCGTTGCTGGTGCGGGACACGCGCCTGCGCCGAGCTCCGAGATCGACGTGAAGAGGGAGCAGGCGATTGCGGCGGTGGTGGCGTATACGAAGTTGGATCGAGAGGGTGCCGTCGCACTGCTAGAGGCAGCCGGCTGGAACGCAGATTTGGCCGTGGCACTCTTCCTTGGCGAGTGAGCGGTGTCGCTTATTGTCATTTCCCCTTTCCCCCAAGAAAATGTCAAGCACGCGGAGAGAGAAAGATAAAGAGAAGGAAGGAAAGAAAGAAAGAAAGAAAGAAGGAGAGAGAGAGCGGGAAGCACCGAAAGTAGGAAAAATGGATCTGCAGCATTGCAAGGTGGGAGTGAGTGTGTCGGCGAGTTGTGGACGCAGAGTAACTCTTTGTTCAGATACATATATATGTCTCTTGGCGTTTGCTACTGAGGCACTCCTTTCTGCCCCTCTGTTATTCTTCGCCGCTTTCTGCTTTTTTTGTGTCCTTGGAGGAATACAAGGGGCTTTGTCAGGACCCGCCGTAACAAACAAGTAGGCACACACACACACTATATATATATATATATATATATACCATCTGGGCGCGTAGTCTATATATACATATATATACATACGTTGGCATACACCCCACCCCTCACTCGCGCCTTCCTTCTCGTGCAATGTCCAGCAAGTGGCCAGCAAGCCCAGTTTTGAAGGCCAGCCGCGGAGCCTTCGTGACTCGTGGCACGCGCGGATCCAACGCTGCCGCAGGCAGTGTGGGCAGAGAAGCGCGCGATAACATGATGCTTTCTATGCGGCAGGATAATCCCACCGACCCTGCTGTCATGCCTGAGCTGAGCCTGGAAGAAACAATGCGCGTGCGCGAGGTATTCTCAGAGCTTGTCCGGGACGAATATATCACCGCGGTATTTGCTTTACGGGTGGTGCTCTCCCATTTCGGCATGTACCCCTCCGATGAGGAGTTGTCGCTGCTGCTGGGCGTTTACGAGAACAAGATAAGTGTTACCAACCTTTGCCATTATCTGCGCTTCTACAAGCGGGAGTTTGAGCTGTCTGCGCAGCTGCGCCGTGGCGAGAACCCGGAGGGTTCCACGCAGGACGAGATCGAGGACACTTTGCGGGCCTTCGTCTCTCTTGGCGGTGCGGAGGACGGCAGCGGCTCCGTAAAGGTGGAAGATCTGCGCCACGTGTGCCATGAATTTGGTCTCACCATCGACATCGACTCGATGCTCTTCGGGATTGTGGACCTTGAGAACCAGACGTCGCTGAATTACGCCGAGTTCTGCGACATGTGGCGGCCCAGGCGTCGCCAGCAGGAGATGGGCTCCATGGCGTCGGTGCTGGAAAGCCAGCTCGACGTCCGCAGTGCCCTGCGTGCACTTGGCATGGATAGCTCCTCCGTGCTGCGGCCCAGCAGCATGAGCCACGAGGGCAGCTCCGTCACGCTGCGGGATGATGCGGGGGTGGAAGGGTACAAGTTCCCCCAGGGCGCAGAGCCCGGCTCCCCTGGAAGGCAGGGGCAAGGCAGCACGCACACCGTCTCACGCTCGGAGGCGCTGCACCTCCAGGCCCTTAAGCGCTTTCTCGTCCCGGAGACTGCCGTCGGCACCACGGCGCCGGATGCCCTGCCGTCGGTAAAGCGCAAGGGGGCTCGCCGCCAGTCCACGCAGCTGGCGCTCCATATAGCGGCGTTGGCGGAGCCTGACCGCCGGCGTAGTTACGCCCCCAACCGCGAAGAGGCCGCTAACGCCGGCGGCGGGGCCAGCGGTGGCGCTGGGATCGGCGGCGACAACGATGACGGGGGGCTGCCCGCGCTGACGGGGGCGACGGGGGGCGGCTACCGAGCCCCAAGCCCGATGATTCTCTCGCTGCGCAACAGCGCCGCCTACAAGCGGCGACTGCAGGCATTCGTGCAGAAGTCAATGAAGAAGAAGAGGGCCCGGGACTCGGGGGCGTGGTCGCGTTTCCCATCCATCTCACCTGAGGAGGATGGGAGCCGCAGCTAGAAGGGCTGGGAAGCAATCGACACGGGGGTGAGAGAAGCCAAAAAAAAAAAGAGGGGTAGAGAGAAACGAGCAGACGCATGAGAATTGAGCGCATCGCCCATGTATGTAAGACGGCTCATGGCTAGAGCCAACTCCTTCTATTCCCCGGAACAGCAGGCAGGGGCACCGCCCCAACCGGGGGGAGAAAAAGCGTGCAGCCCACAAAGCGGGAGGGAGGGGTGGGGAAAGGCCAAAGAGGGAACAGAGAAATGTATACAAGAGAGAGAGGGACGGAGGGAAGAGACGGGTGAAAGGATGACATGGTCCCCCGCTTTGTGATATGCTGATTTAGCTCCGTTACCTGGTGCCTACCTCTGCGCAACAAAGAAGAAGGGGGATAAGGGAACTCATGAACAGGTTTCAGTAGTTTCTTCTTCTTGTTTTGCTTTCTGTGCATTAAATGTATCCTTTTCCCTTCTGCCCGTTGTTGCCTCGCCCCCCTCCCTCAGTGATTCTTGGTTGTTGCTGTTGTTGTTGCTCTTTTTCCTCTGGGGCGGGGGGCTGCGGGGTCTTCAGCTGCGGCATCGTCGTCGTCGCCCTCTTTTTTTTTTTTCTTGGCCCTTTCCCTGTTTTTGCCTTTATTCTCTTGCGTTGCACGCAGAGTCGGAAGCGCCGCAGTCAATGCCGCCGCGGAGGTGCACTGCGCGGCGTGCGATGGGCGCGGGCCCCCGCGGATTCTCCACGGCCACCCGCCCGCTCCGCCAGTCGCGACTGCCCCCGTTTCGCGAACTCTTCGCCGCGCCACCGCCCTCATCGCCGACGTCTGCCGCCGCCGCGAGGCCGTCCAGCCGCTTCGCGGTCCGCAACGTCCATGTGGACCCTCCGCTTGGGGCCGTGGCCGAGGGCGCCAGCCCGCTCGGGTGGCTCTCTCACAATCTGCAGCTGCTGAAGGAGGGCGGGAGCACGCGGGCGGAGCAGCGGGCGAGAATGCCGGAGGGAAGTCCACAGTGGCCGCGCTACGCGTTTTCCCCTCACTGCTGTGGCTACGTCTACGACCCCTCCAACGAGTCCAAGCTCGCCTTTGTGACCGCGGACAACTACTGCCACTTGTGCCACGAGCCCGTGGAGGTGGCGCTTCGGCACTGCGCCTGGTGGGACCACGTGACGAGGCTGATCGCCGTTCGCTTGATTGCGATTCATCCCCGCCGCTGGGATCCTGCCGCAGTTATACAGGAGGCGGGGGAGATGCTCCCCGCCGCTGTTATGGCGGAGCCCCGGCCCCATCCCTTTCTGCCCCTCGCAGCAAGACTGGACCCCGACGACGCGGCGCTGACGGACATGCGTTCGTGTTACGTGTTTGAGCGGGAGGCGGTTGTGCGACGCGCCGAGTTGGCGGCCATACTGCGCGTCTTGTGTGCCGCAAACGACGCGGATAGCCGCAGCGGTGCGGAGCGGCGTCGCGTCTCGATTACGCCCGTGCTGCGGGAGTCGCTGGTGCTGTCCCCGTGTGGCAGTCCTGCGTCCACCGTGGGGGAGCGAACCTTCCGGGCGTACGTTAGCCGGCAAATGAGTGTGGCGCTGCCGCCCATGGCGCCGGAGCCCACGACGCGGCTACAACAGCGTTGCTGGGGGCGGAAAAACCTGGAGATTATGTTTGACCTCCTTGACGTGGCTTCCCTGCAGCGACTCGCCGGGGCGCCTAGTGTGGCGGAGACAAAGAAGGAAAAGGCGACGATCCTTCGACAGATCGTCTACGAACTGGCGACGACCCTCTCGGAGGGCGATGCCGTCTGCGCCGATGCACCCCGCGCCAAGCGAAATAGCACGCCCTCAGCCGATGCGGAGCTGCAGACCCATTTGCTTGTGGAGATGGCGCTGCAGCGCCTCGCACATGAGCTGATTCATCTCCACACGATGCTGCTGATGGACCAGGCCTACGAGACTTACGCAAAACTGGGATACCCGAGCGAGGCGGTGTTGGAGAAGAGTGATTTTTGCTGACGCCCTCCGCCCACCGCGCGCGTCGGTGATGGGGCCGCTCTGCTCGGCAGAGGGAGTCACGCTTGCCGCCTTGGCGTGCGTTTCCCCGTAGCGGGCCATTGCTGCTTTTAGTTACTTGTATGTTTCTCTCCTTTTCTACTTCCTTTCCTCGTGCCCGCATCGGGAGGTTTCCCTGACCATGTCCTGCGTGCATGCCGACGCATTGCGGAGGAGATTTTTATTTTTTATTTTTTTTGCTCTGTAGCGCGTTCGTGCGCGTTTATTGTTTTATTTGGTGGATTTCAAAACGTTTCCTTCTCGCTCGTTCCCCCCTTCGCGCGCTGGCCGGATTCACGCCGCTTGCGCGGGGATCAGTCACAAAGGTCACAGCGTGGGGCTCCCCGGGGCGCCAGCGCAATATGATCCCCAAACCACGCGCTGAGAGCGACCCCGCCGACGCGCCCAGCCCCGCTGCTCACGCGCGTACGGCCGCCTTCTCCGTCTGGGGCGAGGTGAGGTGTGGGGCGGCCGCGACGTCGCACAAGGGCTCTCGCGTAGGAATGGGGTGTCATGGATACGCCGTCAACGATGGCGTGACCCCGTGCCCAACCGGCTGCGAGGAGACGCACTCCGTGGCGTCCGCGCCGCATAGCTCCGCCCCTGCAGGGGGGCGTTGCCGCTCCTGCGAGGCGCCCGCACTGGTGTCCCCGCTGCGGTTGATAGTGGGCGACCTCTGGGGGCAAAACGGGGGCGCCGTCGGCCACGGACTGGGCGGGGGCGAACACCAGCGACAGCGGCTTGCGTCCACCGGGGGTGGCAGAGGCGGCCGTCGCAGCAGCAGCAAATGCAGCAAATGCAGCATGGTGTGTGCGACTGAGGACGGGGTAAGCCCAGTTCACCGCCGCCACCGCAGTCGTCGGCTCAGCACAGCGGCATTGGGAGAGCGTAGCGACAACGAGGGGCGCAATCGATCCGAGGGAACGGAGGGAGATGCGCCTCTCAGCTCTCGCGCCGGCGAGGAGTGCTGGACGCACCGGGGCCTGGCGTATGCCTCGGCCTCCGCTGGCACGCGGGCGGGCGCCATCGCCCTCTCACTGTTTCAGCGACTGTTAGGGCAAGCCGTGGGCTCGCGGTACTTTCATGCGTGGTGGAGATTTATTTTGTTGAAAACGCGTCCGCCAAAGGGGGTAAACACCTTGGCGCATACGGCGGCTGGAGCTCAATCGCAGTGTGTGGATCCGTCACGCTTTTGCGTGTCTGTGGCCTCCACTCTGGAGGCTAGCCGAACGCCCTCGGAGACGCGAGGGCGCGTTGTCTCCCCGGAACTCATGCGGAGCACGGCCTCCGTGGGGGAAACGCTGCTGGGGACGGTTTCTCGTTGCGAACCTCTTCTCAAAGTCAAAGACGAGCGGGACACGCGCTCGTTGCGCTGCTCGGTTTCGGTGGCTCCCGCCTTTTCCGCTGAATTGCCCGAGTGCCTCTCGCTCTTTCCCGCCCGCCAAATTTCACCCGCCGCGCGCCGCTTGCGGAGCACGGGCGCCGAAGACCACCCGCTACAAGGGGCTCCGGGGCACGCGCACGCAGTACATCTGCTGAACTGGCGGGACCTGCTAGTAGACCCCGAGAGGGCGTCCCGCGCCGCCCTTAGGACCGAGGAATCAAATCAGCGAAGTGAGCTTCAGTTGAACGCGCGACGGGTACTGGACAAACTTTTCATGGTGGCCCTCTGCGGGCAGAGGCGGATCTCTCTCTCCGTACCTCTCCGTGCAAACAGCCCTGCGCAGGCGGAGGAGGTTGATGCGGCAAGGGCCCGTTCGGGCTTGCACCTCGCCGAGAAGAAGTAGTACCGCCTGCCGTTGGGGGGGGGGGACGACGCTGAGAAGGAGTGTTTCCCCCCCCCCCCCAGAGGCTCCGCGGCGAGCGCTGGGGCGGAGGGGAGCGCTCCATGCCTTGATGCCCCCCACAGCTCCCCAGACATGTCTAGAAGAGAAGGAGGCTCAGTTGAGAGGTCTGCGGGGTCTCGGCCAGAGGAGGTTGTAGCAACAGCATCAACCGCGAAGACTCATTTTGTAAAAAGCAAATTCCCCGACTCTGTAGTGCACGGTATTGTTGCTACAGACGATGAGGAATGGAGGGGCAAAGGTTTGCCCTGCGATGTTCGTATGCATGGTCCATCCAGCTCTCCGGCCGCAGAGGTCACTGCAGAGCTTCCGCAGGGAACTAAAAAGGTAGCATCCCTGCTCCCAACAACTGTTGCAGTTGCTCCAGCCGGACCCAGTGCGAAGGCTGATATTGGGTGTACGGCCGCAAAGCGACCAGCCTCGCTGGAGGGGGCAGATCGTAATGGCTCAGCGCTTGCTACGCCAGACAACGGTCTGGATTACTCGGAGTTGCGCAGCATGGAACGATCGAGGCGTTGTAACATTCTGGTGAGATATCGCCAAGGCCTTGAGCGCATCATCTACACATGCTTCAACGGCGATGTTTAGTCTGCTTAGGAACCCACGCCCGGAACCACTTCGGTGCAAACCAGCTAAAAGCACAGCAAAAACAGGGACCAAACCGAGCGCCGTTACAGGATGCCTAGGATATTGGTCCCAAAACTTTTTTTTTCCCCATGCCTTTCTTTTTAATTATATTATTATGCGTAGGCCATCCTCTTCGGTTTAACTTGGGCTCGCATTATGAGAGCCAAACATGCGTTTTATCCCTTTTTTTTCCTTCATGTGTATACCCTTTTCTTTGAATCTACAAAAAGAATTTTATGCGAACGTTACTCTCTCTCATTCGTTTCATCTGGAGGCGTGCGGGCACGTGCCACCCCTAGGGCCACTGAAGGGTGGTGTTTCATCGTGCAGGGTCGCCCGGTGTGCCGCGAGAACGGGAGGACGTGAAAAAGAGGGAGGAGAGTATGGTTGTATATGTATATATGTATATATGTCAACATTTAGGTATTCAGCATCCAGGCAGGTACATGGAATCTAGGCGGACGAGCTACACTCTTTTTAATTCTTGTTCTCCCTAAATATTGTCGTCCAGTACAAAAGTCGTGCGTTCTTTCTTCCACATCCGTGCGGTTATGTGTAGTTATTTTTATTTTATTTTCTTTTTGCTTCTTCGGTTTTCTGCACGAGTCCACATGTTGCGCCTGCCGCACACTTGGCTGAGCCAGTGGCCTTCTGTCTTCTTGTTGCCTGCACCGCCGAGTGGTGTCTCCATTTTCCTCTCTATTCCCCCTCTTTTTATGTTTCTTGGGGTTAACTTTTCTCTCTCGGGAGGAGGCACGGCGGGGAGAGGCTCGCCTATTTTTCATGTGCTTGTGTCGGCGCATGAGGCCCACCCGC